ACCTTAGTCCTTGAATCCATATTTAGCTTTTGGGCACCAAACTTTGATACCAGTTGTCACATTGAATCATACACGATGTAGACCTATTGGATTGGTGTTAAGGTGAACAGCTGACTGAAGTTCGAAGGCGCTGCTCTTATCTCGAGAAAAGCAAACTGATACAACAGATATCTATTAACCACCTGTCTTATTTGAAGCAAACATGGCGGAGGAATGAAACTCTTCGTTCAATTTGAACAGTCACGATGAGGAAAAATCATTTTCACCAATTTTCTTTCAGAAGACTCCGCTCACTGACGTGTGCGTTGACAAAATCAAATGGATTATTTTGAAGTACGTTAATGAAAAAAATTTTGACTCTTATTTACAAATTATTACTGAAGAACAGGTATTCATTTATTTTTCTGTTCCAAACTTTAAGTCTTAAATTTAAGGAATATAAGGAAATTCATTTGAATCAGCTCTCGCTTATTTCAATTAAACTTGTATTTGCATTTGCAAAGGTTTTCTCAACATAGACTGCAGATGGCAAATTTTGAAAATACAAAAATGAATAATTCATGTATAACAACTACAGTTTTCAAAATGTGCAAACCATAAGTCTCTTAGCTGTAAGTCTAGCTGTTGTCATTTTATTGGTCTCATTGAGTGGAATACAAATCGCGTGTATTTTCCCGTTAGCAGGAGCTTTTGGGAAGAGAATTGGCAGAGGTATCGGTAAATAGCGGAAGTTTTGCTGAAGTGCACTGACCAAGGAAAATGAGAGAAACACTTTCCTTTTTCATTCTTGCATTTAGCTAAAATAGTTTTTCATCGTTCTTATTTTTATTCAAACAGAACATTGACAGCTATGAATAAAGATATATTTTTAATTAGTGACAGGCTTATTCAGAGAACGAATTATCTAACATCTCTCAACGGGAGTAGATTTAAGAGAAGGATATCGTGCAGAAGAATATTTTTTTTAAAGGATATTGATATTTTCTTAAAGAGTGTGCGAGAGAGGGAAAATCCACAGTCCCTAATTAGGAACCGAGACTCCGTGGTCTGGCGCTGTACCAGACGGAGCTATAGAGAATTCATGAGTAAGTTAAGCCATGTTATGATTCTAGAACCATGAATGCATTAAGCGTCGCACACACCCTCAGGCTGAGAAGCCTTGAGGGAGTCGATGTTTACTTTAATACAAACTGAACTATTGTAGAGTCAAAGTTAAACTCAGCTATCACACCAAGCAAATGTGACAAATTTGCTACCTACCGCTGGGAATAAATGTCGACATGATGCTGGTTTCGTGTAAGGATGGAAATAGTGATGACTAAAATGAGCGATAATCTTTATTTTCAGTTTCTACGAGTAGTATAGACGTACACCATACTCATTTTTTTTATATCATTATATTCATCAAATAACCACAATTCACAAATGACCACTCTTTGACTTAGAAGTGACAGGTGACGTGTTAATAGTGAAATTTTGTAAATTATGTTTGAAATTCAAAAAAGTTTAATATAGCACATCTTTTATTTCAACGATCACGCACTACTCTGTTCTCGCGGAAAAATTACTTGAAATCTCTTGCAGAATGCATAGACTGTCATTCACTGCCGTCCAAATCAATTAGAGTAAGTATTTATTTGACTCATGAATACCTTCAGGTGTTTAATTATAAAATGCTTCTTATTTTCGAATATAATAGATTGAGTAAACTTGATGTTTTTGTCATTTGTGAATAACTATCATATAGAGGCTGTGTGGCTACAGAAGAGCTGGAGTCAAATTTTTCCAACGGCATTTGTTTTGAGAAGTGTAATGTATTCATAATTAGCTTTATCTTTGTCCGTTCTCAGGAAGATTTATACATTTGTACTGCACGCCCCATGATGTAGGTTTTCCTTCTATCCTCATTTACGGTCGAATAAAGGTTTGTTTACTATAAAGGAGAACCCATTCAGAAATTTTACTTCACCCTCGTTTATAAGTAAAAGTTTCATGTGTTTAGACCTTCAACAGTTTTTTACAGTATCTTAAATGCAATGAAATTTGAAAATATTCATCGGGATTTACTTCATGAACAAAGTTTCTGGTGAAAACAAAACTTAAAGGCAATTATATACTTGCTTTTTTGTCGAGTTTCGCGTTCAGTTCTACATGGCAACAGCAAATTCAATATCCTGTCATGCCTAGAGAATAATTCAAAAGTTTCAAATAGCCTAATAAGCGAAACAAAACTAACGTCATGGAAACTGTTTAGCACTCAGTGGCTGTCGAAATTTTCGCGTTTTACTCAAGTGAGAAGCATCTTTCGTGTTTCCAGAAGCAAATCAGTAACCATGTCACCACCGTTGTCTAGCCAACTAAGTGAAGTTAATTTTTTTCGTTTTGGACACGAAAGATTGAAAACAAGTTCTTCACGATTATGAATTCATTCAGAAGCTGCCAGTGGAGAGGCAAATATCTGCTATAAGGTGTCCTCTCGAGCTAACAGCACGGTAAATGTCTTTTTGAGATCTTAGGAAAGTTTTGGATGGTGTAACTTGGTCGAAATTTTTAGCTTATGCTCAGGATGGGGATGAGTTTGAACAATCTTTTAACGGAAGAAAACACCTGTTGAATTTTATTCTATTTATTTTGTCTGAACAACTGTGTTTACCAATTCTTTTTTGTTCTGATGGATTTGCGACTATTTTATGTCACAGACAGGTGTCCACTAGGCCCCCTGATACTCCTCGGCTAGTTTAAAATGTTATATAATTTTTATATAATAAATGTTACATAATATAATATAAATCAAAATAGGATTCTCTTTAAAAAGGTATCCGAAATTCAAAATGTATCAGAAAGGAAAAATACGAAAATAAGAAAAGAAAGAGCATGGCTTGTAAAGGAGGGAATCAAGAGACATATCAAGAAAATTTAGCTCAAGAAAAGTAATATCTAAAATTTTAAATATTATAAACATTTGTATTTCTTGAGACTATTCAGATCACGTCAACTCTGAAAAGTCTAGAAAAAACAATGTCTCGACTGATCATGAAAGGCGTCACTTTTCAGGCAAAATGAAACTTGAGATAAATATTTGTATTTCTTGAGACTATTCAGATCACGTCAACTCTGAAAAGTCTAAAAAAAAACAATGTCTCGACTGATCATGAAGGCGCCACTTTTCAGGCAAAATGAAACTTCAATGGAGGTGTTTATTTTATTGCTGAATAAATTGACTTTGATTTTTTAATTCAGTGGTTATAACATTGAGAAACTATTTTGGTAGCATGATCACGACGCGTAGTTAATTCATCTTCAAGTTGTTGTGATCAAGAACCTTTAGGGTGCGAACGATCTGTCGATGAATTCCAATTGAAATTATTTATTTGTAACGCTTATAATTAAATATTCTTAATAGTGGCTAATTTTGAATGTATATGCATTGCCTATGTGGAATATTCAAACACTCAGTCTTTACATATAAGATTCGTTTACTCAATTGCTTAAATTGCCAGTGATAAAGAGGCAATCTCCCAAGTAAGTAAAAACGAAAAAAAAAAACAAAGAAATACAGCAGGACGAGATATGACTATAGCGGTTGATGTAAAAATTCATTGCAAAACGTGGACCGTAAAGGCCAAATTACCCTCACTTGTTATGCAGTAAGTTGTTTTCTTATTTCCAACACGAAAGATTTGCAAGGAAATTTCAATATTTTGGCCCGAACGGCTGGGAGAGTTAGGTAAGCAAATTACTTCTCGATCTCTTTTATAAGAAAAAAAAATTTATAGATAAGTCTACTAGAATTTAGTAGAAATTACTGAACCCTGTAACTATACAAATAATTTTTGGAATTGGTCAAATGCAAACTAATGACTCAAGTCCAGTTGTACAATCTAAAAAACCCGGGGAAGGGAATGGGGTGTTTTTGGCGAGATAGTTTACCATGATAAAAAGACTGAAAAAAAAACTGTTCAGTGATTCCCACCCTCCCCTCCCTTGAAAATTTACGATGCTTCATTAATTCAGCCCTAGATATATTAAGGTCAGATGACTCCAAAAAGGAGTGCGAGGAGTGCATTTTTATTCCACAATCAAACCAAATAATCGGGTAGCTACCACATTTTAAAGCTTTGAAATGTAATACGCATTTCTAGCACGTACTTTACTAAGTGTGTATTAAATCATCAACCTCTTGAACAAAAAAAAGTCTTAGAGTAAATTTAGCAATCATGAAAATAGATACTTTTCATTCAATTCACATTTGATTTTTTAATCTATTCCTGATTTTCAGTCGTTAAAAATTTGGTTTGACCACGTTAATTAAACGCCTAATGATGGACTATTTCCTCGATTCAGTCTTCTAGTGTGCTTTGACACCTTTAATCCACGGTTTTTGAATAACCAATTTAAAGGTACCTCACCTGGTGTCTATTAAATCAGACTCTTTAGCGACTACAAAACTCAAGTGTACCGAAAGAGACCGCAAAAATCCCGCATACTTTCCTTATACTTTTGTGTGAATAATTCCTATTTCTGTCGTCAAGGTATTACGATTTTTCTCTTATCTCCACAATTTCATTATACAAATAAAGAATATTGTGACTAATTTTAAACCAAATAGGTCGTTGGTCGAGTTAATTTTGTCAATAGTTTACATTTCGCAATTGCCTGTAGTGTTTCATTTCCTTAAACCTCTATATTTTCCCAAACTGTTTCCGACTCGAACTAGAATATTGAAACGAGTCGTGAATTGCAAAATACTTTGAGCAAATACCTTTATTACCAGCTTCACTTAGGGTTTAAAAAAGATGCTTATTTCATTTTTATCATATTATATAGTTTTGAATTTTTATTAGGTGTACCAATCTATTTTGGTGTCTGGTAGATTTTAATAAAATTTACGCTTTAGCTAAACATTGGCCACCGTTATCACAAAAAGAAACTTTCTTGGAGATACCAATGACTGTCAGTAATAAAAATAAACTCCTGATTTTCACTTCGTTATATTTCAGACCAACCCGATTTCTGGCAACAGCTCATTGACGACTCATAGTCATTGCTGGGTAAAATTCGTAAAAAGATAGGTCGTAAAAATCATTTTCCCTTTAAACTACAGACGAAATATCACACGTCACGATGCGACTTCATTTTCAGATAGGAAATTATCGCACAAATATTAGACACCGATAAGGAATACGTGACTTCTCTATATCAACTCCCTTTCTTAAGAAGTAATTATTGAAATTGTGAACACAAAAAGTTGAAAAATTAAAGAAAAAGGAGAAAATAAAAGTATGAATTTAATTGTGCAAATTAGTTTACCACAAAATGCAGGAATTGTTACTGAACAGAAGGGCAGATTAGAGCAGAAACCAACAAAACCAACATAAATAAATATAGAATTTGTACTCTGCATATAGGAATGATTTAGAAAACATATTCATTTACATCACCAAATAAATTTCACAATTTAGGAGGTGAATTAGGGAATCAATTACAGTTTGAGCCGCTTGCTTCAAAGAGAAAAGTGTCAAATGTCTTTCGAAATGAAACTATTTTGAATGGTAAAGATACCGAATTGTTTAATTAAGACAGCTTACTCTATTGTACTTTCAAAGCTGGGCTAAACTTGCTGCCGAGGACCAACGATTTTAATTAGCACCCCACTAGGATCTACACTGAAACGTCTAGTTCAAGAGACAAAAAATTTTCGAACATAGTTTTGCAAACACTTTCCTCAGCTGCAAAAGGACGGAACCCAAACGGTAAGCATAAAGCGGTATTCCCCTCATTCTTCAAAAGGTGTAGAATCATGCAGAAGGTAATGGGCGATTAGCTTACAATACAAGAGCAAATAAGCCAGAGATCTTTTCCTGCAAGTACTCGCGAGTGATGCATCTAATCTAGAGTACCACACAAGGGGTTAAATGATTGCTTCATATTTTACTTTAGTCAGTCGACCATTATGACCCCCAAGGTTGTAAAAAGCAACTCATTTTAAATAAATTTTGATTCAAGTGGATTTCTTAGCAAGTAATATTCACTTTGCATATAAAGATTACCACAATTATAGCTTAGCCATTGTAATTTTGAATAATGCCATCAGGCCTTAAAGTAAAGTAAATAAAAACCCTCAAGGCCGTTCCAATTTACTTAACTTCCTTCTAAGATAAATATTCCTAAAAAAGGTTTATAGATTCCAAATTTGTCCCACTTGAAGCTCGAAACGCATAGGGTATGTTGTGCGCTGAGTCTTGAAAGGAGAGGCAATGATCGGTGATCAAAATTATACTTTCATAAATTGATATTTACCATTTCGCAATACTTTCCACAATGCGCTTCTAATTGATCAAGAGCTCGAAACTGCTAGCATCTCTTTTTCATGATGTCTTGTTGCTGTTCCCAACACAGTGAAAGAAAATTTCAAAACAGCAGGGGAATTGAAAACATACATGATTAACATGGAAATGAAAATCCCTCCGCCCAATCATGGCAGTGTGATTCGCCCCTTTTTTTATTGGTTTTTCCGTTTAAATTGTCTAGTTCCCAACTCATAAATCCCTTTGGAAAGGAAGAATTATCACTATCAAAATGCTTTATTTTGTAACATATTTGCTATTATTATTTCTCGCTCATTGGAGTTTCTCGTTTAATTTGCTTCGATTTCAATTACGCGCAAATCGATTAGTTACGCAGAATCTGCCCTCGGCGCTTTCACAGAGATGTAATGAAAACGTGCTCTCAGAAAATCTCGAAATAGACAGGAAATCAGTCTAATGTATATTAATTTAGAGATTTTATTAGTCCATGAAGTAAGGAAATATAAGTCACATCTAATTTGTTTCATTACTTAGACAGAAATGACTGACACGTAGGCTATTTTTGCCGTTTAATATTTACTGCACTTTGCAAAAAAATTACTGTGCCACGGACTTAGATTTCTATTAAAATACAGTCTCTTTATGAACAAAAGTTTCCATTGGATTTTTTCCATTAAACTTCGAAATTATTTATTTGATTACTGGTTGAAAAAAACGAGGGTCTCTTTTTGGCTCATGAACAAAAAAAAAATCAATCTTGATGGCAATTTCCCGGTAGAGTCATTCGTTTATAATTGAGCCATATGGCTAATAAAGTGAAAACTAACCTTCTAACGAATTTTCCTTAAAGGCAAGTCGAGACGATAATCAAAAGAATATAGTATCATAATTACTCGTATTTACTTCCTGGGAGATATGTCCTTGCACTGTTATGTCGCTTTAAAATGTGAAGAATTTGCAGGTGACTTTGTTTCTTTTCAGCGGCATCCTAGCCTGTTTTCAATCCCCTGATAGTCTAAAGCAATGAATAATATTCAATAATGTTGCTGGAACTCTCTATTCAAAAGTTTGAAGCTCGTAAGTAATTTCTTCATGAACGTAGTGACGATTTTATTAGGTATATTATTTACAGTGAGTGCATATGCAAATAAGAGCGTAATGTTTACGGTTTTTTCATACATTCCCGCAGCGAGCTTCGCACCGACCAATACAGTAACAGCAGAAAATCTCGCCAGCTTTAGGTGCCTGGTGCATTTAGTTCAGAGCTTCCCCCATCAGTCGGCCTAATGTTCCGACTGTGTCAAATCTAAAATTATAGTACTGCATGGCTTAAATGCGACCGCTTAGACTGAATTTTTAGGGAAATGAACTTCAATACAGACTGAAGAAATTTGGTGAGTGTTATGATAATTTTCGGGGTGAAATATTCCCACAACGAATGCTGCTATTTTTCGCTGTAAAATATGGTTACTTATTTCAAACGGCACAGAAAGCCAAACGAAATCAAGTTAAATTGTCTAGAAAGAGCGCGAGCCGAGCCCTAGAGGCTCGTTTAAACAGGAACCAGCTTTCGCACACAGTGGAAACTTTTTTGAAGTTTAATTGAACACTTTTTGCCGTTTCGAAGGCGGCATAACGCATAATTATTACTTAATGCCTTTAATGGTCAACTTTGAATCGTTCCTCCCCGCCAGAGCGTGGTGAGAATCTCAAGTCAAAACCAGCACGACCCACAATGAGTACATGACATTCTCACGTAGTTTGAAGTCTTACTGCACGAGAGCAGAATCCCTTTAAATTGTTTTTGTGATGTTTGACTTAAAGCGGCCTTACGTTTCCAATGGAATCGCCGAGCTAATTTTCACCTTCTTTAACATCTTGTTAATGATTAGAATTATTATTTCTTGACGACTTGATTTCTCTTAGACTAGGAGCTTTCGTATCAATACCAATGGACAGAAAGGCGTACAGAACACTAGAAAGTTTATCTGTCGCGGTTTTCACAAAAATACCGCACTCATATCATTCAAACATAGCTTAATTTTCCTCGGCGAGTTATAATTATAGAGGAAAATATTGAGATAGAATTTCCTGAAATTTTCTGGGATGTCAACGAGTGTTTGAAGTCATAATAGTCTCAACCGTTGAAGGTTAAATGTAATAAAATATTGAAAAATTGTATTTCTTTCATAATTTGACCGAAAATGTTTATGAAGGAAGAGAAAAAATTATTTTGTATACAGACACATTGAATAAGCCCTTTCCTATGTATAATTAATGTGGATTTTGTTGTAAACAAAAAGTAATCTAGGTCTTTGTATTAGTCGCAAATTGATGCGGCGTTCAGCTCAGAAGAGAATGTTTTTCATTGGCGGCACAGTTATTTTTTAATAAAACTATTATTTGTTACTTTATAAAACTTACGGTCCTCGTTTTATCATGGTTTAAATGTTGATAAATTTCACACCCCTTCAAATTGAAGACACGGTAACAAGCTGATTGCAATGAAAACAAATCCGGTGAAGTGTGATGGAAACGCTTGCGCTATTAGTTCAGAGCCACAGGTGAAAATCATTGTTAAGTCGTGCTATTGTCTAAGGCCGCGAACTGATTCAAAAGATGTGAAAATACTCAATTTGGTAAATTTTCGGATTATCGACGGGATCATTTTAGATTGCAACACTGAAATGCTTTTAAGAGACCGAAAATTGAGTAAAAAAAGGCTCTTTGTCTAGATCTACAAGTCTTAGTATCAAGAAATGCCATTAGCTCGACTTTAAGACTTAAAGGAAATATTTTTTTTCTATTTTATCTGGTCAATCATAATTTCTATAGCAAGGGAATTTAAAATTGTGTAACCGTATTGACTGTAAGGTGAGCCTTTTGAGGCAAAACAATACATACCTCATCCATATTTCATGAAAATCACTTTCGACGAAAATGGGTTCTTTGCACTGAACTCTATTTGAATTACTTGAATCTCACAAGTCGTATTTTTCATTATCGAGTATTTCTTGCTTTTATTCGGTGTAATGAAGCTTTGTGTAAAATCCTATTACCACATTTGATTAACCAAGTGTTTTTAGTTCCTGTTCCAAAATTGATCAGCGTGCTCAATAAACAGAATCATAAGATTCTCAGTATTACTTCCATGTATTGATCAATCATCAAAATATCGAATATCGTTACGAAACAAAAACATGCTGTTAAGAAGATGTAAATCTTTAATATAGCTAGAAGATTTGAATTCAAACCACCATTAATCCTCCAACTTATAAGTTTTTTTTTCATTTATTAGGAATTGTCACCTTTTTTCTCACATTCCAAACTGTCTAGCCCAAATTTAAAGAAAAAATTACTAATCCCTTTCACGTTGTTTACCAGAGTATTTTAACGAAATATTTACCCCCCTTGATTAAGAAATTTGAATATCTTATCTTAAGCTTACGCAAATTTCTTTTTCTCGACTGTGATTGCAGGTGATTTATTTTTTGTATACTCTCGTTATTTCGCAATAGCCTCAAATTGCTTTAACTTCCTTTCTTTTACTGAACTTGGGCAATTATAAGTTTGATCTCTATACTAATCGGTTTGTCAAATCTTACTAAGACTTTAAGCTGCGGTCGGCTGTTTTTGTGGTTTTCCGTAGTTTTGTTTACAAGCTTAGGAAAACTTAAAGTCCTCTTTTCTGATTATGCTAAGTTCGCTCCTCCCCGAATAGTAGTGACTCAAGAGCCTCAGAAAGTAGTAGAGAAATTATGGAGACATATTGAAGTAGGCGTTTAAAAAAGTTGTTGGCAATTTTCTTCTGATCTTTAAAATTCAGTGGGCCGGAAATAATTCAAAATTGACGTGGTATGTACTGAATTTTTTGTGTTCAAAAAAAATCCTTGTTAGATATATTTCATAAAACTTCGCAGACACCTTCCTCCTTTTGAGCATAAGAAACGAGCGAACTGGTATCTGTAGCTGTAGTAGCTGTGTAGGAGCGGATTGCCTGGTTTTTTAAAGCGTTCGGGTTTACTTTAGAAAAGATAAAGTTTGTGTG